AAGGTGCGTCTGATACAGGCCATGGCCTTTGCAAATACTTGCTATGCATCAGAGAGCTGGACAATGACTAGGGATGATAGAAGAAGAGTTGATGCCTTAGAGCTGTGATGCTGGACTGCTAGAAGAACAAACAAGTTCATCTTGGAGAGGGTGAAGCCAGGTTGCTCTTGGAGGCAAGGATTCTGAAACTTCATCTGACATACTCTGGACATGTTGCAAGGCAGGATCAGTCCTTGGAGAGGGATGTCATGCTTGGGAGGGTGGAGGGACAGCACTGAAGAGGAAGACTTCGATGAGATGGATTGATTCACTGACTGGGGGAATCGGGATGGGTGTGTCAGAGACAGTGAGATTGGCACAGGATAGAGAAAGGCTTAGGGCTGTTGTACATCGGGTCGCTATGAGTTGCAGGCGACCTGACAGCATGTAACAACAGTGCTCCCCTGCTCTGTTTGGACAACAGCCTCTTGATTTCAGTGTAGGTTTTGCATGAGCACAATTAAGTGTTCTTGGATTCCTTTTCTTCTCAATATTAGCCCTAATTTTTTATGGTCCACACAGTCTAAAGTCTTTGCATAGTCAATAAAGGATAAACATTCTTCTGGTATTCTCTGCTTTCAGCCAAGATTCTTCTACCATCAGCAGTGGATATCCCTGGAGCCACAGCCAGGATGTTCTACCATAGAAGACCTAGCATGTGAACCCGGAGGAAGAATACCACACCCACTGCTGCTGAGCCAATTCCCCTTCAGAGAGATCTCAGGTGAGGGAGCAGAACTACCTTCCAGGCTTTCCAAGGCCAAACATCTTTATGGAAGCAGAGCGCCCCAGCGTTCCTCTGGCTGGGGGGTTTGAACCACTGCCCTTCCTGTTAGCAGCGAGTACCACTGTGTCAACAGACACCTCAGAAGGTAGAACAAGAGCACCAAAACCAACACTCAACTTCTCGGGTAATCCAGGTTTTTCTGGAACCCCTAAAGCCAAAAGAACCCCTTAAACTTTCACCCTGTGACAATACTTAAACCTTGAACAGAAAAGACGACAAAGTTATCTCAAAACAAATGATGCTGTTAGGAATCATCGGGTTAAGTACCACTCGGTGACCCCATGAACCACAGATGTGAACGCTGTCCTATCCTGTGCCATCTTCACTGTCCCCAACATACTTGAGCCCCTTGCTGCTCGAGTCACTGTGTCAATTCACCTGGGCGAGGGTCTTCCTCTCCTTCGCCAACCCTCATCTTTCTATGCATGATGTCCCTCTCCAAGAACAGCCTGTCCTCGAGATAGGAACTCTTCCACATTTTTGGTGGGATTGTAAAATGGTACAACCACTCTAAAAAGCAGTTTCACACTTTCTCAAAAAGCTGAACATAGAAATTCCGTATGTACCAGCCATTCCATTGCTTGGAATACACACCAAGGAAATGAGAACTGAGACTCAGAGACTTGTACACCAATGTTCATATCGATGTTATTCACCACCGCAAGAACATGGAAACAGCCCAGATGTCCAACCACCAATGAATGGATTGAGAAGCTGTGGTACATTCATGTAATGGAATACTAGGCAGCATGCAGGAGCAATGATTTTGTAAATTACTACCTCACTTGGGAGGGACTGGAGAGCATTATGCTGAGTGAACTCAGTCCCACAGGACAAATACTGTATAAAACTGTTATGTAGAACGAGTATGAGGATCCAAGGGGG